CTATTTGTGTTAGTAGTATTTTGATGATTCTGACTTGACTAATAAATGTTGTGTGTTTATGCATGACTGAGTGACCTTGTGATTGCATGACTGACTATTAAGGAGCATTGGCTTGTGTATAGCAACCATTTTTATTTTTGATATATTCTATTGATTTGTGTTGCTGCTACTCTAATTTATGATGTTTCTATTGTTTACTATGTGTTCTTGTATGTAGTGTGCATAATGCTCAACTTAGGATGCACATCTTGCATGTTTTTGAAGAATGTTGATTTTCCAAAATTTTCTAAAGGGGGATTATTGTTTCTTTTGGATTGGTTGCATTATGCAAAAACAACATAGTTTGTTCAAGATCTTTCTATGAAGAAGGACACATGTGGAAACAAATGTCTCAGCAAGTGTGCAACATTTGTCCCTTGTATGTAGGACAAGGTTTTTGTTGTGTGTGCATGTTTTTCAGTTGATTGGAGTGTGTTCTTTTACTAATTTGTGCAACAAGGATTGTTTCTATCTTTTAGCAATTTCATTTGATTGATTATTTAATTAGGTTAAATTTAAATTAAAGATATTTAAATTTGAGTTCAAATAAAATCAAATATTTTAGTGAAGCTATTTTTGAGAAACAAATCTTAATTGAATCTCCAACATATCTGGACGAGATCACTTCCTAAATCCAAGGAGAAAAACCCTGCTAATGATTACTATATAGAGATACTCATTCCATGCCTTTAAGACCACAAGCTTGAGTGATAATTTGTGTTTTAGGTGCAGTCGTTGTTTGTTTTTATTGTACGCCACATTATTACTTAATTAATAATGAATAGTAGTTGGTTAGTTTAGTTGAGTTGTAATTCAACATTCATCATCATGTTTATTGATGTTGATCACTGAGGATTTATGATTGAGAGAAAGTGAGAGGGAGTTATCATACTTAAGAGGAGTCCTAAATAGAAAGAAACTAGGGTATAATTAAGAAGATGGATCCCAAGAGTGACGAGGGAATTTTCCTAGGATATTCCATCAATAGTCGAGAATTCAGGGTAGGTGATAAACATACCAAGACAATTATAGACTCTATAAATATTGTCATTAATGATACACCTGAAGATAAGAAAGAAGATGAAAAAGACAATGATGTGTCTCCTCAACAGACTGATGTCCCAACAAATGTTACAGACAAGGGGTCTGGCATTGTGTTTGAAAGAAGAAATTATGAAGAAACTCCGATCAACAAGGGACAATTTATCATAATTTAGAAGGAGCATCCCAATTAAAATGTCATAGGAAATATGATTAATGGATTCATAACCAGATCCAGAGATATAATTTCCAATTCTTTCTACATATCCAAGATTGAGCCTAAGAATATCAAGGAAGCTCTAACTGCTGAATTATGGATTAATGTTAGGGTTAAATAAGTTTTTGGTCCTTCTAAATATCTAAAATTTTGTTTTTAGTCCCTTTAAAATTTTATTTCAAAGAATGGTCCTTCTAAAAAATTAAATTTTAACTTTTGGTCTCTCCTTCAATTTAGCGACAGTTTTTACAACTTAGCAACTGTTTTAACGACGATTTTAGCGACAATTTTAGCGACGATTTTTATTTAGCGACGGAACTAGAGATCATTTTAGCTACAATTTTGTCAAGAGGGACCAAAAGTTAAAGTTTAATTTTTTAGGAGGACCGTTCTTTGAAGAAAAAATTTAGAGGGACTAAAAACGAAATTTGAGATATTTAGAGGGACCAAAAACTTATTTAACCCTTAATGTTATACAAGAAATGTGAGTGCAACTTCACCATTAGATATTTTGCATGAAGTCAAAACTAGGAAAACCTAACATTTGTGTATATTGGATGATATATCTATGTCATTTGGTGCACCCTTGCTTTAGAGGTCTTAGGAAGCATTCAAAACAAGTTTAAAATTGATCCAAATCATGAAAAATCAGTTTCTGTATAAAAACAATATTTTTGCTTTAAAACTGGAGTACATGAGCCAACTTGAAAATTCTATGACTCGACCTGAAAATATTATGAGCCAACACATGTACTGCATTATTAAAGCATATAGCTATTTTTTTGTATGTGTCGGCTCATAATGTTCTGTGGGTCATTTTTGCATTTTTTTTCTTTTTGAAACTTCCCTCTTTTGTCTAAAAAGTTCCCAACTATAAATATATCATTCATGCATCATTCCAACTTGATGATACCATAAAAATTTCTTGCAATTTCTCTTCACCTTCAACCTCCGACTTATGCATACACACTAACAAATCATCGTAATAATGTTTTGTTTGGAGTTTCATCTAGACGAGGTTCGATAACATCAAATTAGGTTCTTGCATAGCCGAGAATATTAGGTTCAGATTTGCAGGGGTCTTCATCCAGAAAAACTGTGGGTTTGTCCTCCAAGATCATTGGTTGATTTGGGGGTTTTCATGCAAGATTATCAAAAGAGGATTGCAGACTAGTGAAAGCCTCTGGAGATAAATAACACAAAGGACTCTTTGGAGATAAAGAATTCAAAGGAAGTAGGGTGAGAACAGTGAATCAAATTGAAGTCTTGTGTTCCAATAGGTATAATTGATGGTGCGCGAAACCTTTGGAGATAAAGAACGCAAAGGAGTAGCAAGATCCAGATAGTCAATTGGCAATGTATTGTATGCTTGATCTTGTTGAAGATCAAAAGAAGATAAGTGGTGGAAACAACAACAAACGGTTAGACTTTGTATGATTGCTCTTGAACACTTATCTTGTAATCATAATTTTTGCAAAGTAAGAAAGTATCCTAATTCCATATTCGAATTGGGTGCAGACGTACCCATACGCGAGAATGAAAATAGGGAACTGTGTAGACAAATCCACGTGTCTCTTTTCTTTTATCGTTTTACTTGCTTTAACTTTCATATATCATTTGTCAAATAGCAATGAATAATCAATCGAATCGTAGGAATATTTTGGGATTGTTTTTGTTTTGAATTGCTTGTTGATTTGCTTCTAACCACTTTTAATTATAAGTGCTTTTTCATATCAACACAACTCAAAGGAAAATTATGAAAAATTCGGTTACACACCAAGTGTTCGACAAATTATTTGATCGATTGCCCTGTTGAAGCTTGCAATAAGTTGTTTCAAAGGGTGGCTTTGGCCTTGTGCATGCTAACATGGTGGGACATTCTGCCTTATAAATTTTGGCTAACATGCAGGAAAGAGGCTATATGGCCAAACGAAAGATTTGCACGAAGAGAATAAATGTTCAAACGAAGTCTAGTGCCCAAATGAAGCAGCAAATGAACTTGTCCAAAGAAATCCAGTGCCCCAACGAAGCAGGAAATGAACTTTCCCAAAAGAAGTCCAATGCCCCAACGAAGCAGGAAATGAACTTGCCCAAAAGAAGTCCAGTGTCCAAATGAAGGGTGCAACCAAAGCTTACATCGAAGGAGCAAAAGTGCCCAATCGAAAGATGTAAAATTGAAGGAAAATTATTAGTTTTTCCTTCAATTTTGTCAAAAAGAATACTTTCATCTGCTTTGCCCTTTTTAACAGTTTCCTCTTTAGCTTGATGCTGAAAAAATCCAATTGTACTTGTGTAAGCTTGAATTTTTTAGAATCCTTTGTGAGAAATGCCTTGGGAAATGAGAGGGAAAATTTTGGGGTACAATAGTGTGAATTGGACAGACTGTTGATATTAAGGACTTAGCAAATGATTTAGGGATCCCTTACCCTCAATTTTCACTTAATTACAAAAAAGAAGGTGATGTACAAGGGATTAAATGACACTATTTGGAAGCTAAAGACCTTTCTTTCGCCAAATAAAAAAGAATGTGAGTCTTGTGTTTATTGTTTAGGGCTACTTGTATTTGGTGTAATTCTGTTTCTGCGGACTTCGGACTATATTGACCATGCAGCAATTAGTGTGTTTTAGGGCGCGAAAGCTTTAAATGCGGACCCAACTCCTACCTTACTTGCTGATATTTATTATGCTCTTTACACTCGGTATGAAAAGGGCAGTGGTACGCTAAACAGTTGTATCCTGCTCTTATATTCTTGGTTTATGACTCATCTCTATAAGGAAGACTACATGGTTCCAACTCTAACACGATTTGAGTGGCCTCAAAAATTAAGGTCTCTCACTATTGATTATGTGTTGTGGTATGCAAGAAACTTCTCTAGAGTTGGCAGGGAGAAGTTGGTGTGAAATAATAGATTTGTCTTAAGATTGCCCTCTCTAGTCCTTTTGGAGTTGTTTACTTTTAGTATATGATATTAATGGAGTGATTGAATCTCCTTCATGGTCATCATGGTAATGGTTCCCTTGTCGCCTTGAGGCCATAAATGACATTGAATGCTATAGATGATCATGTTTCTAATATTAACGGTCGACTTAATTTGGGTGTCTTGGATGTGTCTGTGTTTTGTGCATCTCGGGTCCATCTTGATGTGACGGACCCAGGTCGTCTTTGAGGGCATGCAAGGCGGCCTACCGCACAGGGCCTCAATTTTCAAGGTTAACTTATGGATAAAAGGAGGTTTCATAAAATATTTTGTCAGGTTAAATCGTGATTATATAGGGCCTCTATTTATTTTGTTCTTGATAAATTGTGACTAGCATACTCAGGGTCTCCAAAAACTTGAAATGGTTCTCAGACCCATTCAAATATGGGCGTCTTGGTGAGTTACATGAAATATACATCCCGGATATACATAGCCCCCAAACGTGAGGCCTGGTAAGGATGAAACACTTAAGTTACTTAGCGACTTGAATAGAATCCAAACTTACCGTCTTAGTGAATTATCTGAGATATACATCCATATATATATATATATATATATATATATATATATATATATATATATATATATATATATATATATATATATATATATATATAAAGTTAAAAGATATGTTTGATTTCATAAGATATATTCTTACAAACTTTAATTAATACACGTAAGATATGCCTTTTATTTATTTAATTTTTATTGATTTATACAATCACTCATCTTTTACGACAACAACAACGCACAGCCTTAGGATAAATTATATAGCAGGTACCACCATACTTATAGCCTTCTCCATAACACTCTCGATAGCATTCTAATTCTGACGTGCAATCACCATCTTGACATTTTAAATCCAAAAAATTATACTCACCACTTGATAATCCTACAATAAAATAAAGTTAATTTAAGTTTGTGTTAGTTTTGTTTAAAGAATATGAGTTTGTTATTCTATTTGAAGTAAACAGTTCAAAAAATAAAATAAACGTGTATTCATTACCTGAAAGCAAAATTATAGAAATGACTAAAATCAAACAAAGATAAGATCGATTGATATATTCGAAGGCCATTGTTCAAAATTTTATCGTATGTTATTTCTCTTGTACATTTAAGACATACATGTTTATTATACATATATATATATACTATTGAAATGAAATTTAGAGCAGGTATAAAAGATGCATGAAAAGTTAAAATAAATAAATAAATGCATTTAGATATTTTTAAATTATTATAAATTTATTTCAGTATTTGCATTTTTATATATAATTTATTATTTAATTTGTCGAATGGCATTTATAATATGTAAGAAAGGTCATTTTTAATTATTTGAAGCATTTAAGATTAATTAATATATTTTTTATAAACATTTATTTGATTATTTGTAATTGTTTGAAGGATTTATTTGAAGTATTTTTTATTATTTTCAATCTCAACAATATTTAATTAATATATTTCTTTGAAACATTTAAACGTATTAATTATTTCATATTATTATATTATTATTTTATAAACTTTAAATTTAAAAGTTTTTTAAAAATTTCATTAAAGATATTTTTTTAAAATAACGCCTCATATATTAAACAAAACAAAAAGAAGCTTTAAAAAATCTAAAGAAAAAGGCACATCAAAAAGAAGATAATTAAAATTTAAAAAAAAAAAGAAGGCATTTGTAACCTATTATACAGTGTCTTTTCTAATATCAATAAGAATAGATTCAAAAAATTGGAGAGAGAAACAAGAGAGTCCTATATTTGTCATATGGTCGGTACATGAGTTTCATTCTCTATGAATATGAGAGATACAAAGATTCTAATGGTCAAAATAATCTAAACAACTAAACTATTGATTTTTGAATTGTCAAGGAAATAACAAAGGCTTGCTAAAAGCCAACATCACATTAATAAAATCATTTTCTAACCAAAGTTTCGGTCAGCCCTTATCCACAACAATCTTCATGGCGGTTAAGACAACAACAAACTCAGTAAGATAAGAAGAAGAAGAAAAAACCTGGTCAGCAAAAGCCAAAACAAAATTACCATGATGATCCTGGAAAATACCACCACAACTTACCTGGAGGGCATGATGTTGAAAAACACCATCACAATTACACTTTAACCGGTCTGAATTGGGAGGAAGCTACAACACTTCTTTGATAGAAGGAGGTCTAGGCGGTCTGATGGTAATGTTAAAAGCTTTTATGATTCTAAAACTATCTATGGAAGAAGACGCCATAGCTTTAGAGTTCAAGCCAATAAGGAGAATATGAGATTTTATCTTATGAATTGTATTAATGACATCAAGAGTTTTTCCCCTAAGTCTCTTGATGTTTCTAGCCTCCCACATATGGTAAAGAACATAAGTAAGGGGTACCTTGAGAACTAGATAGCACAATTTAGACTTATTAGTAACACAAGTTGTCCACCAGTCCTCCAACAACTGTGGTATATAAGAGATGTTTATAAGCTTATATAACTAGAGACAAATCTTCTTAGAGAAAGAGCAGTCAAAGAACAAATTATTTGAAGTTTCAGAACAAGAGTTGCAAAGACTGCATCTAGAAGTGATATAGTAACCCCTGTTAGCCAGGTTATCGTCAGTAGGCAATTTATCAAGAATTAACTCCCGTATGAAAATGGATTTCAAAGTTTGAGAATCTGAGAATGATGGAAGATGAATCCATATCTGATTTTAATATCATACTTCATAACATTGCCAACAAATCATTTACCTCGGGAGAAAATATGTCAAAAGAGAAGCCGATTAGAAAAATCCTCAGATCTTTGCCCAAGAAGTTTGACATGAAGGTAACAACTATTGAAGAAACTCAATATTTAAGAACCTTGAAGGTTGATGAACTCATTAGCTCTCTTCAAACCTTTGAATTGGCTATAAATGGAAGATCAGAAAAAATTAACAAAGGTGCAACTTTTGTATTCAACACTTAAGATAATGAAGATTATGGTGAAAAAGATACTAAAGAAAGCCTATCAGATATTATAGATTTTATGGGAAGGAAGTTCAACAAAGCAGTGAGAAGGCTGAACAGAAGATGGATGATAAATTCCCGAGACAAGGTGTCAGACATCAATCCCCAGAGTAATAACAGAGATGAAGACAAACCTAAAAGATCACAGTGATGTGAAAGTGAAGGTTTTGGTCACATTAAAGTTGGACGCCCTACTTTTCTAAAGAAGAGGATAAAGGGATTGTCAATCACATGGTCTCATTCTGATAATACAAGTGAAGGAGAAATAGATAATAAAATGATGGCTTTCACAAGAAAGTATGAGTCTGAAGGTGAGTTTAATGATGAAGACATAACTAAAGAAGAGTTAGAAACACATAGACTGCTTTACACCAATTGGGAGTAAGTATGCATAACTATTGAGCAACAGAAGAAAACCATAGGTGTACTCCATAAGGAAAAGAAGAAGCTTGCCTCAACTATCTCAAGTCTGGAAGAGAAATTTACTTTGGTAAGTTCCAAGATTGAACATATGACAAAATTTGTGCGTATGTTGAATCACTACAAAAAACACACCTAGATTGTGGGAGTTTTTAAACCATTTTGTGGGGGATTTTGACCCCGGCAAATTGATTTGCGGGAGTTATCAAAACTTCCGATTGCCATAGAATATCTGCGAAGGTTTTAGGTGACCACTAATATCCTGGCGCATTAAATGGGGCGGTTTAAAACCCCGCAAAATATATAATAAGTAAAAAAAAATAATAAATTAATATACTCAAACTTTTTGGTCAACGTGAAATTGATTGAGATAATCATGTGAAAAGTCTCCACAAGAACAATCCATTTATGAAAAAATTTAGTGCCCACAAAACTTCTCACTATTGTTTGCTACGTCTCTTGACCACTAACAACCACTTAGAATGTTTTAAGACTACCTTTCCCCTATTTTTTTCTATAGTAAAAGAACACTTACCAAACTTATCAAAAAATACAAAAATAATATGCATACAAGGTGATCAAAACGTTAAATTGACATGACATTAAAAGAAATAAACATGTTAACATCCAAATTATTGAAAATACTAAAAGATTGAAAGTGACATCTTAAATTTTCTATCAAATCCAAAATATTTGGATGTATAAAACAATTAAAAATATACACAAATGCAATTAGATCTAACTAGCAGACTTCTCGTTGAGATGAAGGAGCTGCTCAATCATTACAGACACTTCTCTTCTATTATGAGTTTAATCCTATAAATTTCTAGATTAGTAAACAACCAAAGCCAAATGTAAGCTCAAATAGCTATCAAATATGATAATGAATAATAATGAAAAAGATAAAAAAGAACACGAAAATCTCACCTCCCAACATAAGCTTTTTTTTGTCAGTGTCTTTAAACTATTTCTACAAAATCAAGAAGTCGTATTAAGAACAATGTCATATTGTTTTTGATATTTAGAATGAAATACATAAATTAGAAATGTATTTCAAGTGCCAAAGTAATCTAGATGGTACGTCAAGCATAAACTTTGACATAGATTCAGTCCTAAAGCCACCAAGACTAAAACAATTTTATTGAAAAGAAAACTACCATATGTGTGTAAGCAGTAAACGAGGGGGACAAGAGTATACACCTTGTTTTACACTTTAGTAAGTCAGTAAACGAGGAGGACAAGGTCTATCCAAAAGTATATTGTATGAGATTATGACATTGTTTTCGTCATCATCCCTCTAAAGGCTTATAACTTTTAGCAAGTGTTGAATGTCATAAAGTGAGTAAAAAGCATAGTTTAAATGTAATGAAAACGAGTGGATCAAATCAAGACAAACATATGCAATGCATTAATGAAACAAAGTTTGACATTAATAGATAATTGTTTGAATAATAAGAGAAATTACAATTGAAAATTCAAAATGAACAAGACGCTCTCAATGATTTGGCATAGGAGCAGTGATCACGTTTGGAGTCTTCGAAGGGTCAAACTCAATCTCCTTGGCGTCAATCAAATCTTGAATCTTGTTCTTCAAAGTCCAACAACATCAGTGTCATGTCCGGGACTATCAGAATGATAGGCACACCTTACGCTTGGATTGTACTTAGAAGAGGAGGTATCGGGATTTTGAGGAGGATCCTTTGGCGTGATCAACTTCAACTTCAGCAAATGTTGTAATGCTTGAGACAAAGGCATGTTGATGTTAGTGTACTTCCTTTCTTGATATCTTACCCTACGTCTATTGCTTTATCTTTGTTGAACAGGTGTAGGATTAGAGATCAGGATTTCCCCTACATGTTGATCATGATGACTCTTTTGACCATACATGGCATTGGACTCTTTCTTCCCACTGTATGGCTTTTTGTGAACATCTAAAGGTGTAGATCCTTGGATATTTCCACTTTTGATGCCAGCTTCAACCCTTTCGCCGGTTAGTATTAGCTCGGTGAACCCGACCGAGGAACTTCCGATTAAGTGTTTGAAGAAAGGTCCCGTCAAGGTTCCCATAAAGATATCAATCAGCTCCCTGTCAGTTAAAGGGGGCTTCACCCTACCAGCCAGATCTCTCCACTTTTGGGCATATCCTTTGAAACTCTCGTTGGAACCCATGGTCATGTTCTACAATTGCACATGAGTTGGTGCAAGATCAGCATTATACTGGTACTTCTTGTAGAAAGAAGCAGCTAAATCCTCCCAGGTGTGGATGCGAGAATTCTCCAATTGATAGAACCATTCAAGTTGAGTCCCTACCAGGCTCTCTTGGAAGAAATGGATCCAAAGCTTCAGATCAGTTGCGTATGGTTGAATCTTGCGGACATAAGACTTTAAGTGCATCTTAGGGCAAGAGACTCCATCGTACATGGCAAAGGTAGGGATTTTGAGCTTTGGCGGGATGACTACCCCAGAAACCAATCCCATGTCTCCTAAATCCAAACTGGTTATCTGTTGAATCTCCATAGCACTGAGGTGATCCTCCAGCTGTTTGTACTTGTCATCAGTGGGAGGATATTGTTCCTCAGAGTAGTCAGCTTTGGCTTCATCAATCTCCAGACTGTTGTCTTCTTCATGACTATCCCCCATGTTGGATGGAGTTGAAAGATC